ACTCTTTCAGCTCAGACACCCTCTTGCTGGTGTGTCCGATCAGGACGCGCTGCTGTTCAAACTGACTCAGGTCCACGACGAGTCCCAACATGTTAAAAACGGGGGAAAATTCAGGGGCCTTCTTCCCCTCCTTCGCATAAGTTAGACCAAGCAGGCCAAACAAAGATTGCACGGCGAAGGCCACATTTTTCTTAAGTTGGGATTTGGACACCACGCTGTAATCGTCAAAGAAAGCGGTCCAAATGACGCGCAATGCAAGGACTCCTATCATCCAGACGCAATTACTTACCCTAAGGAAGGCCGCAACCGAACCTATCGCCCCGAAGGGCAGGGCATTGACACCCACGGATGCGGGCGCATCGTGACCCGGTCGATTAACCAGCATGCGCAGCAGGTCACGGTCCTTACTGGCAACTGGAAACTGCTTGTACGCAGATTTCAAATCGTAGGTTCGTCCGCACAGCGGGGCTCCTTTGTCCTGGGAAATCTCAAGCGCAAAGGACAGCATAGCCGCCATTCGGTCAATGGCGTGTACCACGAACTGCTCGGCCGTCCCCACTGTTGCATTGAGGCCGCAGCAACTGCAATCGTCGATCACTCTGATCTTACCTTGCTGTGCTAAACCGAACCTTCGAGCATATGCCTTGAGACCTTCTTCGGGCCCAGGTGCTTCCCAGATCCAGCCACTTTGCAATTCGGCTAAAGTCTCATTCCAAGTAGCTCGCTCAAGCTCAGGGCTCTGCCTCAATTCCATCTTTCTCCGCGTAGCCTCATTCAAGCCGTTTGCCAAATGCTTCAGAGTATCTACTGAAAACTCCGGTTGTCTGACCCTCGCAGGAAAGGCACCGCTTTTCGGCAACCAGCCACTAAGAGGAAAACCACTTTTCATGTCTTCAACCAAGTTCCTATCTGGAAGATCATACTCCTCAATCATCTCCTGCCACAGCAGTAAGCGTTTACCCTTAAGGATTTTCCTTATGTACTCTGGCAACGACTCATGCAATTTCTCTTCATCCGCCTCAAGCTCCTTCGCACGAGCGGACCACTTGGCTACAAATTTTAGCCTCTTCTTCGCAAGTGCAACCTCGTCTCCTGAAATGTTCTCAGTGACGACCTGTTTCAAGGCGGGTTCCAAGTTGGACGACCACGAATGTGGATGACCAACTGACACTGCTCGTTGCAAGAACTTATCAGGCGGGAGGGGTACCCCAAACCTAAAAACCTCAACCCTAGTGCCCTCAGACGGCTCACAGAGTCGGCAATGCAATCCAACAATGGGCTCACGCCTCTCGGCCTGCACCTCCCCCCAAGTAGAAAGATGCCGAGAAATGAAGTGCGCCGTCTTGGGGGCCCCTTGGTAGGGTACCGTGGCACCTGGACGATCAACGACATGCAGGAAGTAACCGAACTCCGGCAGGAGTCGCGGAGCTTTTCTGGGCTGAAGCCCCAAAGGAATACGATCCGTTGAAGATTTGCGCCGGGCCATGGACACATGAAGCGAAACATCATCCTCAACACCTGCCTTAAGCACTGCTTGTCGCAGCAAC